CCCCCCCCCCCCCGGGCCTCCAAGATCCTGAACTCTTTTGAAAGACTTTGAATGCAAAACTGTAAAAGATCCGGCAGAGGAACAAATGTGTCATGCCATCAACCCCACATAAAAGACGCAACGAAATTCAGACACTTAAAGTTTTACAATGTATTGAAATTAAAAGGTCGAGTGACGAACGCCGTATGTGTAAATTCGCTTAGCAGCTGTTTACATAATCGCGGTATCGTGACTCCGTACACGTATCATTTTCCACGCAAACCATGAAACGTATAAAGGCGTGCCGGCCACCAGCATTGGCTAACCCGGGGGGGTACTCCCTTATGCTTATATGGCCCTTGTGCCGCTGGACAGGGTGTTTTTTACCTTTCTCAGTCCTAAACATAGCCTGGGTGACGAACGAACCCCACGGGACGTCTGCGTGGAGGCTATCCTAAACAGGGTGTGTAATTGTGTGTGAGTCTCTCCTAATTATAAACCGGATGAAATTTGTTTGTGCTCCAAGTACAATGACTATAACGTGAATTTTCTCTAATGTAATAGCTAGTAAATGGATTAAAGACAAGACGGCAGGCATTCTGTCGTTTTCCCTAAACAGGGTAATAAAATTGTGAGTGTTGTCCTAAACAGGGTATGTATTTTACAATTTTTTTCTTGTCCTAAACAGGGTCAGGGTTTCAAACCCTCAGCGGCTAACCTATACCCAAATATTGGTCGAGTACCCCTCGCCCAAGAGTTTAATTCTAAATTTTCTGCTTTTGTTACACTGAGAATGAGATCCACTGCCGAAGCCTAGCTTTAGCAGCTAGTGAAACCTTTAAAATGTCGATGTCTCAGCAGCACAAATTCTTTTCGGCGTTCAGAGGCCGCTTGAACGCCATCTTTCGGTTGCGTGCAACCTGGGTCGGAACTATTTAAAGAGCACGGAGGGACTTTCAATGGCGGGACTCCTTCCAGATACTACTTATTACCAAAAGATTGAAGACAGGTCGGCCCAGCGCACCACCCGTCGTCTAAGTAGAAACGTGGCCTGTAAAACCATTAAGTGCCGCAAAAAAAGGACTTTGCAAGCATCTGGATGATCATTTTCACTCAACTAAGAGACGTAAGATTAGACAAGGTAGGGTAGCGTGGGGGTGGATTACAAAAAAAAACCTACGCCCGCGCAATATTTAGTCGAAGAGGCAGGCCCGCTATAATCGGCGCTTTCTCCAAAATAAGAGCCCAGCCGGGCCGCTCTAGGACAAAATCATCTCATGCTTCTATTCTAGGGATGGATACAAGGGAAACTTGTTTCTATTTCCTCTTTATTGATAACTCAGAGTACAAACCGTATAGTGGAACTAGGGTATTCTTGATTACCAATACTAACTTAAAAAAGCGCTTTTTCGGGGAAATATTAAATTAAATACCGCACGTATAAGTAGCCCTAAAAATATTCCTGCACTGGCTAACAAAAAAGTCATGCAAGCCGGAAATGTTAACGAAAAAAATTCATACAGCTCCCTCTCCACCCATTCCCCAGTTCATTACTTTTTAAATTAATTGTCTGTCCCTAATTCTCGCGAAGCGAGGGTCGTAAGACCAGCGAAGTGAGTCTATAATTTTGTCGAGCGCGGATCGTGCGTGGATTATATAGCGACCTGCAATCTCGGCTGGCCCATATTTCTAGCTATTTATATATCTCTTGGTGTCCGCAATGCAATGACGTCATCAAGCGACAAATTCGATCAACGTTGTTTCAAGAAATGCTTTTGGTGATTACTTTCGACGGGAAAAGTATTTTAGAGAGAACAATGAAGAAAATGACTAATTTAAGAATTTAATAAAAACATTCTCTTCAACAATAAGATCTTATTATGATCGATCTCTTGATTCAAACTTATTCTTGCCCAAATATGCTTCATAATTCCATATATTGTTTTGATTGGTTAACGCACGTCTAAGCAGCATCCACGCCCTATTACAGTGTCTTTTCAAGTCTTCTTGGAAAACTGACATGCAGTTTCCCGCGAATTTTTTTCATGAGCCGTTTAATATTTAACAATTATTGAATGATACGAAAGCCGAATTCAATGATTGTTTGGATTATTCATTCAAAATAATTCCTAGTTTAAAATCAAGCGAAAACATGCTTACCTCCATCGATGTTAAATTCATCTTCGATAGTGCCGTTAATCGGCAAGTTTAGGAGATAAAGGGTTGTTCAGCTTCGAAAATATTCTCCAAATAGCGGGTTGCCTTTGCTGTTCTTGCTATGTTTTTAGCCAATACTTCGCTTTCTTGCCAGTGAAACGAGGGAAATGTTCCGCCATTTTTGTTTTCACTACCAAAACAACTCAACCTCGTCTCCAGGTATTCTCGGTTAACGGTTAAAAATCTGCACCTTTGCTGCACCTTGACGGTATCGGTCAATATGGCAAAATTCTTCCAAATTTGGCCAACAGCAGCCGGTTATGATGAAAATTATGCGTGTGATTGTAGCCAATCAGAAGCGGAGAAATATTTTGAATGAATGATAATAATTTTTACTTCCCACTTTTACTAGTACTCCTCCAAAAAAAACTGCTAATTCTTCTGGGAACCGGCCACTACTACGGGCATTGGAGTAATTAAACGTTGTAGGCCTTTTGTTAATCGAAACACATTGGAGTCCGTTTTCAATGCCTTAGTTCAACCGTACTTTAATTACTGCAGCGAGGTCTGGGGGCATTGTAACAAAAGTCTTTCGAATAAGCTCCAAAAGTTGCAAAACTGGGCTGCCCGTATTCTAACCTTCTCCAGTTATGACACAAGCGCTGATCCTCTTCTTGAGCAACTCAACTGGAAACGGTTGGATACTCAGCGACAAATACAAGTGGCCACCATGGTCTATAAATCTATACATGGTCTTGCGCCCGACTATCTTGGTTCTCTTTTCACTAAATATAATCCACCTTATAATTTAAGGAACTCTGAAAACAAACTAGCTGTTCCATTGCCCCGCACCAATTTCTTGAAAAATAGCTTTAGCTATAATGGTGCGGTTATCTGGAACAGCTTGTCCCCTGAATTGCGGCAAGCAAAATCACTTAATTCTTTTCGAAATGGTTGTCGCGATTTCTTTGACTGAATCGATAAAACGCACACGGCATCTATGTAAAGCAGAATTTCTTTATTTTCTCTATCTTTACTATTTAAATTTTTAGATCATGTTTATATAGATTAAAGTAGATTGCAATTTTTTTATTATTATTATTTTATCTGATAGATTTACCGTGTTTAAATAAAAATAAAGTTCAAGTTCAAGTTCAAGAAATGTCAACCGTCAAAATTGCAGATAAATGTTAACCGCAAAAAGGTTTCAAGGTATAACTGCCCCGAAAACACGAAGACACAATCCCTATTCAAAGGGGAACGGAAACAAAATGCTTTTCCCAATCAAAAGGTTGAGGTAATGAACAGGTGAAAAATTCGCGCAACTTTTGACTGTATCTCAACGCCCTAAATACCTTACCAAATCAGTGAAAGAATCGTAATACTAACATTCCCACACATATACGGAAGTCCTATACAGACAAAATCCAGATGCACGGATGGACTGAGGTCTATACGAAAGATAACTGGTTTTATACCATAAAGTGGTGTCAAATGTAGAATTAAGAACGAATCAAGCAATCCCATATAAACATAACAGGGCTAAGTTTATTTTAAACACCATCACTATTGAAATACGTGAGCGGCACTTCGTGAACATCTTTGTAAAGAGCGAAACTATGGCCCTCCGGCAAAGCCATAAGTCGAGTACGCAAGTCTGGCAATTAAGATAAAACGTCCTAATTTTAAGTAAGTACTTGAAGTCCTCTAGTGCTGTATCCGCTTTCTGTTCACTACTTTATTTGTTTCTTTGTTCGTTAATTGAAAGTTCAACTGCACAGTGGTTACGCTTCGTTTCTTTCGGTGATTCATTAGCGATTCACGTTTGCCAAAGTAAAGTGTAAACATGACGTTCTCTTGAAATGCATGCATGCGTCGTCGAATCAGATGAAGTAAACATAAACCTTGGACGAAAAAAGACGGACGTTTCTCTCTTATCACCAACAGTCAACTCGTTCGAATTCGTGTTTCGGCGCATTTAAGCGAAATGTGTTAAGAGAAACGAAATGAAGCAAGTTTGGCGTTCGTTTGTTTTCAGTTGCTTTTCGTTATCAAGATGGCAGTTCATCCAACTTGCAATCTTTATCAGCTTCGTTTCAGTTCAATACTCCTATCATGTACAGCTAACCACTCGTCTTAACGACGCACTTGCTAGATTGGACAAGTTAGAGAACTGGATTAACAGTAGAAGTAAAGAACAGAAACAGATGAAGCCTGCACACATGAAGGCAATTTATGGTCATTCCCGTAAAAGGAGGAATTTGAATGAGGGACAGATTAACAAGTTATGGGAACGAATTGAAGGCTTGGAAAATCGGTGAGTAGAGAATACCATTAAAAAAATTAGCGAAAGTTTAGGATTAGAAATATTATAAGGAACCTTGAAGCGTAATAGTTTTTAAATTCAATCCCCAAGTCGCCTGGTGCCTGAAATAATAGAAGTAACTATATAAAGCAAACACTTATGAAAGTAATTCTTGTAATTGAATGTTCTAGTATTGGGTGCGTGATTATCATGGATTGTGTGAATAGAATAATAAGGCTTAGTTGATTTACACAGTCACTGAACAAATTCACGCAATGTTGTCTCTTCTTTTCCCTTAAGCAGTATAAAACACATTTACATGTTCGAAACCGATATTTTGATTCTGTGCGGATTGTATACTGACCTCACTCGAAAGAATAAACAGGGTGAAACACCCAAAAGAAAAATCTCGAATTGCAGTTAGTATAAAACTGAGAATATTCAGTTCAAAAATAATAATAAGTTAACAAGAGCAACAGGAAGATGTGCTGCCAAAGAAGTTTCAGCTAGAATAATGGTCCCACCATAAGAATGCACTCCGTGAACCAGACAGCTTCAATATAGTGCACGATTGACTCAAGTTAACTGAAACAGTAGACATGACAAGCCGCGTTCCAAAAGGGTGGGTGTTCTCATATACAATTGATGCAGTGCCAAAACTAACAACTACTTATCACGACCTTTTTTTTCTGGGTACTTCTCTTGTCAGTGATCATGAGCCAAAACTGTTCTGATGCTATTACACGAGCAGAATAGCCAAGGCTACAATAGATAGCTTCAAGATTGACAAAGTTAGAAACCGTTGTAAAGAAAAAGTATGTTAGTTATTTATTGCAGGAAATGTACGTTTTTTGCATTTCCCTATATAAATTATTTAATTACACTGCTAGATTAAAAAAAAACTAACACAGAATTTGCCTTGAAATTAACATGGAAAGATAAAAATCCAATGAGGATTGATGATCCAATTGAAATGATATAGATAGTTCAAGAACGCTCGTGAATAAACTGCAGTTTATATTCGTGAACAAATTAGTGTCAATCACGGTTGGGCCATAAGCATTTTGGCTAAGGTGTCACTAAGGTTTATTCCGTGGGATGCCTGTGGCACTCCCACGGTAAAAATCCGGTTCGGTTGTACCCAACTTTGCAAAGCCAGCCAATAGGATTGCCTAAAATCTTTATCGATTAGCTCTTCTTCCAAGCCGACCAATCAGATTGTACAAAATCTGTATCGATTTTTAATCGATTTGCTTCCTCTGAAGAACGTTGAAATCAGAACGTTCCTTGCCAAATTTGTCGCGCTTGAGTTTTCCCACTCGTGCTTTAGGATGGCTTGTTAACCAGCGAAATCCTTCGGGATACTGACAAGCCACGAAAGGCGACCTAAACCAAATTATTTCTTTCCTTCATGATTCCTTTTTGTTTAGGTCTAGCTTTTTCATAAGGTTTTAGGAGCGTCTGGTTGCGGGCCATGATTTCCGATAGATTTTTCTATTCGGAGTTCGCCAGTTTTTGCCGAGCACAGCTAGAGTTCAGTTTTTTTCTTTTCTTATCGAAAACACGTTGACGATGGGAGGTTAAATCGCGTAAATTTCAACTCGTGCCCTTGACGATTGGCGGTGAAATCGCGAAAATATTGTCCTCGTCGATCGACGACTCGCTTTCGGCATGGATTGGACTTCTGGGTGGGACACGGATCGAGGAGTAGACCTTAGTAAACTTATTATACCTTGGAATCAGGGATAATCATTGGAACTAAGTTAACTTTGAGACCTTGGGAACACATTGCAATCAATTTTTAACCGTATCAAGAGCATCTTGGAATATTAAACTTTCATCTTGGATTAAAACATTGGAACTTTATCGAACATTAAACAAATCGGACTCCCGCAACGCGGTCGTCCGATTTTGTTAATCACTCGTATGATTACAGACCGAATTGGACTCCACTCAGTCCTGTTACCATTACTTATATGGCCACCACCACGACGAAGGACCGAAGCGAGAAAGTCAATGAAGGCGATGGTTTTATAATTACTAACCAAAGATTAGGGAAAACAGCTTAATCAGAATAATTAAGAATATATATTGTGCAGTTTTCATGACGAGATGATCAACTGTGCATTAAAATAACAAAAAAATAAAAATAACTAAATTATAGATAAGAATTACATCATGTATTGTGTATAATATCAAAAAACCTAACCAAGAATAAAAAGCCTTACTAAAAGAAAGGTACGTCTTTAAAAGTTTTCCTAAAAAAAATTACATACATTAGTCGTGTATAGGTATTAAGTAAACCTAACTAAGAATGAAAAGCCTTACTAAAGAAAGCGCCTTTAACATTTTTTTTAAAGCGTCAACAGATTTGGCCATTCTAATTTCCAGAGTTTAGGCGCCAAAGCAACGAAAGCACGGCTGCCCAGGGTTGTTAAAATTTTAAAATTCGGGTGAGACAGCAGTGTTCCGTCGTCAGATCGCAGTCTACATCTTGATATAACTTTTGGTACATTACCTTCACACGACCACAACGTGAACTTCCTAATTCCACGTTTCATCGAGGAACTAAACGCAAGACAACTTTTTGTCCCTTTATGTTATTTTGTCTTATTTTGGAACTTGGGTACGGTACTTTAAAAGAGGTCAACTTAAGGAAACTTTGCCAACGTTCAACTAACTGAACTAGGTGGAAAATTAGCGATTTTTCAAGACCACGTGATGCATATCATTTCAAGTGACGTTTTCAATGACTTCGTCTTTGTGGTTGCTTAATTAATTGTACGTTCATGAGCTTATCCACTAGGTAAATATCTGTTCACACTGCTATCAAAATAGCCCTCTTGGTAGAGATTTATATCATAGACGTCGAGAATCGGTGTAACCACACATGATTATTAGCAACATCTGCTTGCAAACATCGTTGTAGTCATAAGAAAATTCATCTACAGAAACAAGTAAAATAAGTTACCATCTCCAGAATGTTGGAGTAAGCACATTCATACTGCTTTTGCCTTGATAAAAGATATATATAAAAGGGTCAAAGAGAATAGAAATAATATGAAAGTCTTTCGGGAAGAATCCAGTTGAGGTGGTAGTTTTGAAATTGTTGCTTAAATCCTGGAGAAAATCAAAACTATACAGTATAATTATCCACTGCTGTTTTCACATTGGTTTTGTAGTATCACAGCCTCAAACAATTTCACTGTTACTGGCCAGGGAGCATTCTGTGCCCAAGGATCACCAGGAATAAATGGTATGCCGGGTAAAAATGGAATACCGGGTCGTGATGGGAAGGTTGGAATGCCAGGAAGAGACGGTGAGCATAGAGTCATTATTTCTGTTGTTTTTAATTAAAACTGAACTGAAAGAACTGGGTTCACTTCCAAGAGCATTGCAGACACGAGATAAAATTATAATAATCTCGGTTAGCTTTGTTCTATTGCTGCAATAGGCAACGTATAGATACATTTTATTGGTTTGAGTTTAGTTAAATTGCTAGACCAACTTATTTCATACTACTGGTAAATTGCTTAGTATAGAAGAGCTGGTTGAATTCAGCTCAAAGCAGTAAGGGAAACTCAGGATTGATAAATCCTGGAATGCTGAATTTTTTTTCCAGATCTTTTCAGTGAAAGGTTAGAAGAAGTAATTAAAGTTCTCCGTAACACCATTTAAGAACAATCTTCTTGATCATACCCTAACACTGAAGTACCTTCTGCTTGCCCATAACATAGTATCCGTGTTTATTAGTGTAGGTAGAGATGGTACCGATGGACGGCATGGAATACCGGGGAGAAACGGAATCCCAGGGAGGCAGGGACTACCGGGTAATTACAATTACATTTTGGTTCTTGGCTTAATATCTTTTGAGCCCCGTGTAAGGGAATCCGGAAAATTTTTGTTCGTAGAATCCGGAATCTGAGTAATTTTTTGCTTGTGGAATCCGGAATCCAGGGCTTTGGAATCTGGAAAACGTACAGCTCAAGGAATCCAGAATCCCACGAACAATTGAAATCCAGAATCTAAGTTCCACTGAAAAAGAATCCGGATTCCAGTTCGTGGAATCTGGAATCCACGGCTTGGAATTCACAATCCAAGACTGCCTTAAATGAGGTGAATTTCTTGTAAGGCGATAAGGCCTGTATGAATCGTACTGGTTTGCCACTTGTTCCATGGGATTTCTGATTCAGTAGTATGTTTAATGTGCATTGATTATCCGTCTATGAATAGTTACTAACCGTAGTTTGACTGCAAAATAGCAGAAGCACGTTCATAATACTGCGGAGAACACCGAATGGCAACAAGAACTACTGTATTGAAATCCACTAAGAAAGCAGAAACATCTACTCATTTTTAGAAGTAAAAATTTTTACGGCCTTACAGTGCAAGCCATCCCCTAATACCGGTGAAAACACTCCCTGATTTGGCCTAAACGAGTACGTCCACTGAACAGGATAAGGTTGTTTGAAGGTCTTGAGTCTTGAACAGGGTACACAATTTCACTATTTAGCCTCTTGAACGAGGTTGACGATGATCGGATTCCACCTTTAGTACCGATTTTTTTTTTCCGAAAAAAATCTCATTACTCAATTCTATATGCGAAACGAAATGAACCAAGGTCATTAAATGAGGTCTCTTGTCTTAAACGGAGTAGCAAAATGAACAGTGGGGGGCTTGAAAACATTACAGTCAAGAAGACTTTAGCAGGGACTGATCAAACAACGTGAAATAGAGTTTAGTTGCGATATTTCGACTGGCCAATCATGATACCAGTCTTCATCAGGTTTATTGAGATATCACGAATTCACAGAATATATATGAACTTAATTAAATATGACGTGGTATGGTGTGGATATGGGGAGCTTACTAGTAAGGAAAGACGTTTGACGCACGTCAACCGGAAGTGAGGCCTTCTCACTATACATATGCCTTGACGCTAAGAAATTTGTATTGCAAAGTTTCTTTTCTCTTATAAAAACGATTAACCCGAGACTTTCAACCAAACCACTGCCCAATGATGCAAAAAGTCCACTTCCGGTTGACGTCCTTCGCTCAAAAACGCCTTTGCTTAAGCTCCCTAATATCTATATGTCTTTAACATGGTCTGGGTTTAAAGGCCTGGCCAGCTCATCTCTGCACAAACTTCCCTTGAGTGTTTCGGGGGAAAACTTATTTTGTTTGTGCAACAAAAAATAACTCTTGCTTTCAACGATCGCAGTTTCAGTGCAGTTCTTCAAGATTAGACTGTGAAATAACCGGGTTTCAATTTACAGAAGGTACTGTAGCAGGCTTTGTTTCGTTTAAGGTAGAGATGGTGCTACAGGCCCTAAAGGTGAGAGAGGTCATAAAGGTCACAAAGGTGAACAAGGCCCACAGGGACCGCCTGGTGATCCGGTAATCTGCCAAAAGAAACCCGTTACAGAGGAGTCTAAGCAAGCGACTTCTGGAAGCACTGTGTTCATTCGCTGGGGCCGTAGCGAGGCCCTGCTGACAGAGGGACCGTTCTGGTTTACGAAGGCACGTTAGTTCATATATACTTTGATTATTGCTCTAATTCTCAAAATCACACAAGCTTAAAGGGGCTATGTAACGAGGATATTAAGGTTTTAGCTCAATTCTGTGCTGAAGACATTGCTTTAGTTCTTTATGTGTTTAATCCGTACACAAAATCCTCCGTTAGAGATATGAGGTAGATACCAAACAAATTCCACCAGGAACGGACTAACCATAACATTTTGGGCGTGATCTTTCCACGTTCAGCATTTAAAAGTGAAAAACAAATTGGCCCACTATTTCAAGTTTCAATCTACTGAACCTATATTCATCCTTGCATCCGTTGCAGTAGACGATGGAAAACAGATTCAATGCTTAAATGAAGTCTTGAATAACAAAACTGTAAAACTGGATAATGATTCAGTTGATGCGAAGACAGATTTTAGCTTTTTGAAAAGACATTAGATAACGTGACATACTGACATGCTATAAAGAGAGGTTAACTTTTTTACTTTGTAGTGCAGAATTTACTTCTCAAAAACATTAATACCCCCATTTTTTGAGATACGAAGGGTTTGTCAATCAGGAGTTCTAGTGATTAGACGCCGTACGAGATACCAATTTATTAGGGGTTCATTTCTTCAAATAGATTGAAGTTAGTCTTATGGCAAGTTTGTTAAGGGTGTGAAATATCGTGTTCGAGGCGGCATGTGCTAGGCCCTAATATAAGCTGATTAATTTTAGTGTGCGTTCCATTAGGATGATCTGACATCAAGTGTTTGAAGATCACTCGCTTTATAGCACATCAAAGAAACTGACGAATCCAGCCTGGGAAAGGATTCATCGGCTCTTTTGATGTACCATGTTCAGAGCGGTCTCGGGCCTGTATGACTGTATGATCCCGAATAAACCCACCCTAATAAGAGTTTAGAAATGAACACACAGACCAGAGAGTAGAACGACATGCAGACAGAGACAGACGGACGGACGGGCGAAAGGACAGATAGACGGACGGACGGACAGGCGGACGGGCGAAAGGACAGATAGACAGACGGACGGTCAGACAGACAAATAGCCGACAGATGGAAGGACGAACGGACGGGTGAAAAGATAGAGAGACAGACGGACAGACTGACAGAGAGACAGACTTACTAAGCATTTGGCGATAAACTAAATATCCCTGTCTATTTTTTATTAAGCTAGGTCGAGTAGCTGGATGGCAACCAAGGAGTAAAGGAGGAGGAGTCAACTACCTGTGCATGCCTCTGAGTCCTGAGTATACCAAGCCCGCCACCCCTGGATTCCAACCGAAAGCATCCCTCTTCGGTGTACAGTATGGTCAAGTGGACGATCTTTTCCCACCAATCCCAGGTCATAAACCAAACATAAGCTACCTTGGAGTACCCTGCGCTGTATGCCGAGCGGAGAGAAGAGGATCCCTTATGATGATCCCGGCCCGTAATGTTTGCCCTACTAGTAGGTGGACCCGCGAGTATATCGGCTACCTTATGACAGACATGTCAAACAGTACCGCCCCAGATTACATCTGCGTCGACGCGGACGCGACTGGAGTTAAATTAAAGCACAACGAAAGACATTCTGCAAATTCTTTTCTAACTTCAGTTCTTGGAAAGTGCGGTGTGCTCCCCTGCTCAAGCTACGAACCGAACAGGGACTTGACTTGCACGGTATGCACCCTGTAGGCGAGAAAATTGTTCCTCTGCCTGTCTACAGACGTGTACTTGAAGAAAAAAAAAACGAACCTCTTGCTATTGGCTTTTGCTAATTGTGAAATGTCTTCGCTTCCAAAAACGGAAGCAGGGGCGTATCGTCAAAGTTTGAAAGTGTACGCAAGAATGCCGAATCAAGACACTTAATAGTAAGGTTGTCTGGGGCTTGCTTCCCAAGAAAAATTAAAATTTAAGGAAATCGGAAATGCCATTTCCTGCGTTTTCGAAGGTGATTTTCAGTAACTATATACGAAGGAAAATGCGGTAGTTAGCTGTTTTTTTTTTCTTTATATCTAAAGTTATCGGTAAAGTACAGTATAAACGGAAAAAAGTGAAGCCATCAACGAGGTTTACGAGGTTTGTTAATATCGGCGAAGGCCGAGACGTCTACCTTTCAGACGGGCAAACGCTGTTACAACACCATCAATATCAACGTCCATGTACTTACAAGCGTAATGCGAAACATTTATCATTCATTCCGATTTAGTGGTAAAAATGCTTTTAGAAATTTAAAAAAAAAACATAGATTTTAGCTGTACGCACAAGCGTATGCGTGTATATGGACGTTACGCTCCTGGGAAGTAATAGCCTCCCACGCAGGCGTTTTTAGGGGAGCTCGTATTTCGTCCCTCCCCACAAACGTAATAGAGAGGAGTCAAACCTTTGCGACAAAAGGCAAACGTGAAATTCAAGTTTAGAATGTTTTCAAATAGAAAATGAACAAACACTTTTCAAAACCTACAGTTCTGATGTATTAAAATGGTGTGAAACCACTAATATTTGGAAATACTTCTACAGAATTTGTACCACGTGACCCCGTTTTCCCTTACAGT